TTGAGGCAGTTCTAACTCATAACAACCCCATGTGTATCAGAGTAGAACTGTGCTCTGTAGGGTTTTCAGTGACTGTAATCTTACGGAAATAGATTGCCAGGCCTTTCTTTTGCAGCTCCTCTGGGTAGATTCAAACTGCCAACCTTTCAGTTAGTAACAGAGAGCACATGGTTTGTGCCACGACTATATCTTGTCCTAAGTTGTTATTCTTTCTTTGATATTCTGGTTTATTGAAATGAGATAATTAATATATAAAGTACTTAGAACAAAGTAGTCACTCTATATTACTATAAGAGTTTCCCTTCCCCTCATTTACATACTTCACTCTTACTTCCAGGCGGTTAGCAGAGGCATTTCATATCAGTGATGATTCTGATCCTTTCAATATACGTTCTTTGGGGTCAAAATTCAGTGATAATTTGAAAGAAGATGCCAGGTATGTAACTTGTTACCTGCTTCCTTAATTGTGCCTTAAGAGAGTTTTTGGACTTTTAAGATATAGTAACTAATATGTACCTCCTTCTGTAGTTAAGCCAGTTAAAATATGTTCATTTATCTATTGTAAGAGATTATATGATGTTTATTAAAAATCTCTTGGTTTCTTTAAACTGCCTCCTTGAAGAACTGAACGTGCGTGCGTGCGTGCGTGCGTGCGTGCGTGCGTGCGTGCGTGCATGCGTGTGTTGTCCCTGTGGTAGAAGTTTGGACCCCCTGAGGGCTGGAATGGGCTGAATTGAAGGCTGTCTGGACCTCATTCCTCCTCTGTCCTCTCAGGTCTCACAGTCACATGCATCCTCACTTAGGAGCAGTAATAGCTGTTATTTTCCTCCTGTCTGCTGGTCCTCCCATGGCTATTTCTCCTTCCATCTTCTCCTTTCTCATTCCTGTTTTCTTCTTTTCTCTTCCTTTGTTCCACCACAGTCAACCTTCTGTTATCTGACAGTTCCTGTCTCTGTAGTTTTTCTGACAACATTGTTCATTGTCTGCGCTTTACAGCAGAGGGCGGGTAGAAGGGGTTCCCAGGAGAGCAGGAACAGATGAAATTAACTGTGTTGATTTCTCCTTTCAGGAAGGACTTAAAGTTTGTCAGTGACATTGAGAAGGAAATGGAAGCCCTTGTGGAGGCCGTGAATAAGGTTGAAGTCAAAACATTCAACTGGATATGTCTCTAAGGCCAGCGTGATAGAAAATCAAGCCCCAGAAACACTGTCAGCCTAGAGTAGTTGTAGGAAAAAGTCACAACGTCCTTGAGGATCCTTATCTTTCCCAAAAGCCCAGCCATTATAACATCCATGTGAGCCCATCCTGATTCAGTCATTACAGAAAAGATATCTGAGACCAAATTAAATGTAAATAAAAACCCTGGCTTAGTACCTTGGATCACGTGAAGAAACTCTGGACGAGGGGGCTCAACAGTGATAGCTGAGTGGCTGTGTGTGATACTTCAGAAGGCAGCCCCTCAGAGGGGCTGTTGTATGAAAGGGGAGCACCGTAGCTCTTTATTGCCCCAAAGAGTAACCCTTGCGTAAAGATAAAAAGTTGTGTGACTAGAGCTGAAGAGCACTGGGTGGGATAGGCTACCTCAGAGAACGAGAACGCTGTCACTGGAGACAGCCAGGGATGTTGAGAAGGTAGACAGAAGTGACAGTCTTTATTTCAGTCAGTAGCTGCCAACCCTGTGCTGGCTCCCTCTTCACTCAGTGAGGCCTGTGAGTGTGGACAGGGATGGCTGCTTTAGCTCCATATGTAATGATGACGGTTTTTCCTCCCACCATCCCCTTCCCCCTTCCCTCCACCCTTCTGTCGCCACTTCCCAGCAAAATACTAAAATGAAGGAGAAAATGCAAGACACCATTTCTCTCCTGATTAGGAAACCTGAGCAAAAGTACTTTTCTGCTTGTGTGTTTGTACCCACACGCTCATACTTTTGAATGTACTTTTATAGAAAGTGAGGTTTTTGGTTTTTGTTCTGTTCTGATGTATTTTGTCATTTCTTGGGAATGTCACTCACTCCCCAGCTATGGCCACAGTCAGGAGGAGCCACTGCCCTGTCTCTTAAGTCTCAGTTATTTACCCTTTGTCCCTCGCCCTGTTCAGCTGCCACCGTTTTGGTCAGAGAGTAGGTGAAGGAAGGCACCAGCCCCGTCCTCTGAACCCCCTGGGCCTCCTTACAGTCAGTGCAGCACTGATGCGTTGGGCCTGTAGAACTCAGCCACCTCCGCCGTCCTTGTGGGGCTGGTAAGGACCATTGTGTTTTCTGTTTTCAGGGTGATTTTATTAATCAGTCATCTCTTCTCTCAATACAGGGAAAGAATATTAAGAAAAGCCACTGCTTCCCTCCTATGAACAGAGACCACCGCCGGATCATCCACGAACTGGCCCAAGTTTACGGCCTGGAGAGCGTGAGCTATGACAGTGAACCCAAGCGCAACGTCGTGGTCACTGCAGTCAGGTAGGTTGATCTTGCATCACAAGAGGGACTCGTCCTCAGCAGGGCAACCTGGGCCCAGGAGCAGGGTCTGTCAGTATCCACTTTTCCTCATGCCTTCTGTCCCTCTTTGAAGAATAGATGGAAAGTCAGCTCCTCTGGGACAGCCATTCCGCATGATTTAAAGGTCTGAACCAGAGAGCAAAGCCCCTGCCTCAGTCTATAGAGCAGACTTGCCTAAAGTGCACAAGCCCTCACGTCGGCCCAGATCCATATCACCCGCTGGAGGCAACATTTCCACAAGCAGACGAAACAGACCTGGGGGCCTGGGCCAGGACCTGCCCATTGCATCTGTCCCTTTTGCCCATCACAGCTTCAATCTCCTGTTCCTCCCTCTGACTGCTCCCTGACTCTGTCCTGAGGCATACACTGTGAACAACATTTTGCCATCAGGGGAAACTGAGCCAGGAGGGGACAGGGAGGATCTAGGATCACCGTCAGAACCTGGGAGAGTAGGAAGAACTTCCCAGTGAAACAAACTCAAGTGTGGAAAGAGAGGAAGCAGGCAACAGTCCCAGCAGAGATGGGTGAGGTTGAATGCAGGTGGCTGTGCCTGAGAGGAGACAGGTCATATCAGTGCTCAGCAGTGTCATCTTGCCAAAGCCATGGACTGTGTTTCTAGCTGTCTGCCTGTCTCTCTACAAATGATTATCACTTTTCAATATTTTGTGTTTTGACTTTTATCAGAGGGAAATCCATTTGTCCTCCTACCACTTTGACAGGCGTTCTTGAAAGGGAAATGCAGTCACGGCCTCCACCACCAGTTCCTCATCACAGACATCAGACAGACAAGTAAGAATTCTTCTATTGCTTTCCACAGGGCCCTGTCTGTTCAGAGAAGCTAGCAGGGGTACAACTGTCCTGGGCTGTACCAGCCACTTAGCCCTCTTCGGGCCTGTCTTGGAGTGCTGTGATCATATATGTCAGGTTTGACAGGGATGTTGGACATACTGTTCTTGCCAGAGGGGTCCTAAGTTTGATGTTTGTAATGCCCACATCCCCTCTGGGGAGAACACTCACTGGACAGAATCTCCAGTCATGGTTAGATGATGACACTGGGAGGTGGATTCAGTCAGTCACACCAGATGATTTAGGACTGGAGCTTCACTGGTTTAACAGTAGTTACTCTGAAGGTGGAAGTGGGATTGGGATGGGAGTCAGCAGTGAAGGAAGATACTTTCATGTCTTGTTCTGTCTCTGCTTCTGTGTGGTTTGAATCATTTACAAGAATGTATTCATGATTTAAAGAGAAAAGAAAGCCAAGCTGGCAAGCAGCAAGTCGGCCCGTGTTTTCTCAGACAGGAGCAGCGGAGGAGCACCACCCTCCTTGCCTTCCTCTCGCTTGCCAGGAGGGGAGCCCGCTCCGTCTACGGTGACTGAGGCAGCAATGCCTGAAGTTCCTCTGAAGCAGGGGTCCTTGCTTCTGTTCTAGTCTTCCACACTGAAGCCCTACAGTACTATCTCCGTGCCTCTTGCACAAAACCTCTGGAAGGGTGGTTAGGACAGTTTACAAGTTCACCATGAGGGTTGTAGCAATTGGTGTTCCTGTGGGACAGGGACAGCCAGGTATTGCCCATGGTGCAGCCTCAGTCAAGTGTCTGGGGCCATGTGGCTCCCAGGGACCAGCCCCTCCCCACCTCTGGGAACCAGGCAACCTGGATCCTGGTCAGTGTGTGTCTATATCGACATGGGCAGTGATTTGGGAAATGTGGGGGCTGTCCCAAGACACCAACTGTCACAGCAGAGTCCTGTACCAGTTGGACATAACCGTCATGGAATCACTGGCATGTTTATGCCATGCTTTTTTTTTTCTTTTTTCTTTTCCCCTTTGCTTGTTTTATTTTTATATAAAACTTTACAATGAAAATTTTTAGAGTAGAGAGAATGGTATTACTATAACAAACCTCTGTACTCATCACCAAATTTCAACATTTATCAGCTTGTGTTTGCCCAGTATCTTATCAAGTGTCACAAATGGTAAATCAACTGATCCTTAACTTTCTGAAGACCTGTATCTGTTTTCCCCAAAGAAGAAAAGATTGATCATTCTTTGTTTGCTTTTCAGGAATTCTGGGAGCAGTAATTTACAGAAAATAGCCAAGGAGCCAGTAATTGACTACTTTGATGTCCAGGACTAAGAAGATCAAGACACACTCAGATAAGAGAATGATTAGATGTAGTGGAGACTTGTTTGCAGCAGATAAATCACGCTTGTCCCTCCCTGCCTGGCAGAATCACAGCTTCACATGCCATCTTGTATGGATACAAGCCAAAGCACGAGCGTGTCAGCAGTTCCCTTGTCCTCTCTTCCTATCTGCAGAAAGGGTTTCAGTGCAGCCAGATGTCCGACTGTGTGGCCACTAAGTTATTCAATCATGTATTTAAAGAGGCTCCTCACATCATCACTGTGATTGCTCTCAGGCTTGGGGGAACATTGGGTTTCATTTGAACAAACCAGAATTTTAGCCTGAGACTGGCTTGATGACACTTAGTCATCGCCTGAGCTGTCCCAGTTACTCATCCTCCTAAAAATGCAACATCAGATGCACCACGCTTTCTTAACCAACTGATCTCAGTCTTTGGAAAGACACAAGTGGATTTCTCAGTCTGAAATAACCAACACTGTATTTGTGTACCAGATTTGGAATCACACATGTTATCTTAAACCCAGCTATCTTATCTAAGTCTTTTGCCAAAAACTCTCATCGTTCTGTTTAGCTGAACTTGATTTCCGATGCCATAAGTTAGGAGAGGGGAAGAATCAGGTTGATATACAAAATTCCATTTTCTTGAGTCCCTAGCACCTCTCAAACCACATCACTGAACCTATCTAGTGATAGTCAACTTTATCCATCCACCATGATGGTAGAAGACATTGAGCAAGCTCTTTCCCCTGCCAGGTTCATACCGTGGCCTCTGAGCTGATATGTGTAGTCCTAATTCCCCTTCTCTATTTGAGAAAGATTCTCAGGTAGACTAAGCTGGCCTTTGTTGCTTTCTGCTAGCCCTTTAGCAGGCATATTGGCTCTTCCTGTCTCTGAGCTCTGGGCTTCTGTTGGAATATTCAGAAAAATGTGCAGACAGTCTAGGGCTTGTGCCCAGTGGCCCACTAGAGGTGTTTATAAAGCTCTTTTAAGGCAGGCCATCATCAGTTACACTAATTTGGCCCTCTTTACATTGACACCCTTCAGCATGGAGGCCAGGCTTCCAACAGCTTCCTCCTGCTCTAGAGCAAACCATGAGCCCCAGAGCATCAGAAGGAGATTTGAGAAGTGGCACAAAGCCAGGTGCTTAATTTTCTTAGGAAGAGCAGGGCCATCCTTTTATCCTCACCAGACAGTCCTCTTCGAAAGGCCTCAGGTACTGCAGCAGAAAGAAACAGGCAACTAGAGGGAAGAGACAGACAACTACAAAACCACCTTTGTCTGGGCCCGTTTAGTGCAGGGTCAGATGACTCCCCGACACAAAGGAAACTCATGAGCATCTGTCATCTCTCAAGCGATGGATCCAGCGAGTGGACTGTGGGTGAGCATCTGGGAATCAGCAGGAGCCCTGGTTTCAGAATCTCGCTCTGCCATGTAACACCTTGCCACTTGATGGAAAGGAAGTATATCACCCACCTCCCCAGGGTTGTTGTGAGGATGAAGTGAGATAACATATGAGGAGGTGCCTGATCCATCATAGGTGCTGAAAGTTTATAAAAATGATATTTGATATCTGGAAAATATGTAAGCATCTTCTTTCTCCATAATACTAGCCAAGTAAAAGGTTATGGAATGCTAAAGGCCTCTTCTGGTGGATGCTTGCATGTCTGTCCCCTGCCAGCCTTGGGCCAAGTCTTGAGGTGGTAGGTGCCCTTTGGAGAAGGAAAGAGCCATCCCTAGCCTCTTTTTTTCCCCAAAGATAAACAGTATATGAGACAAGCCATGGGGTGTGGTTTATGGTGGGTTTAAGGAAGGGTTAGTTGTCTAAAGTAGGCCAGTAACTGAAGGTACAGATGATGAGGCTGGAGAGGTGGACACAGGCCAGTTCGTGGAGAGCCACAGGGAGCCACCAAAGGATCCTAAGCAGAGAGTGGCATGGCCCGATTTATGATCAAGAGCAGGGGTCAGCAAATTCTTTCTGTAGCGGTTCCTGTTGTAAGCTATTCCAGCTCTGCCATTGTAGCACAAAAGCAGCCATAAATAATACATAAATGAGTGAGCATGGCTGTGTTCCAGTAACACTATTTATGGACACTGAAGTAAGCATTTCATATAATTTTTCACAAAATATTATTTTGATATTTTTCAGCCATTTAAAAATGTAAAAACTATTGTTAGCTCGTGGGTCATACAAGAACAGGTGGCCTGCCCCCGACCCCCCCACCCCAGGTCAACAAGGGGACCCCAGCTGTTTCTCATGGGTTTAGTGGATTCTCCACTGAGCAGTGGCTTTAGATGAGATTTTACATGAGCCTGGACTCAAAGGAAAGAAACCCTCACCCTCCCCACCCAGACGTGGAGGGAGCCTGTCTGAGAGTACAGTGGTATCCCACCCCCTCCAGCCCCACACCCTTGTCCACCGGCAGTCCCTTTATGGGGCCAGAGCTTTCCAGAGACCAAGTTCTTATCTCTGGAATTCCCTCTGGCTTGTCTGGCAGGGCTGGCCTGTCTGCAGTGGGGGACTGTATGCAAGACCAGAGATGAAAGCAGGCTCTCCTGGTCATGGAGTCTGTGAAGCAGCTCTGGATTTTGTCCTGAACGGGGACTGGGTAGGCCAGAGGACAGACCAAGGAATGTCAGCCTTTGGGGGAGGTGCAAAGTCTCCATCAGTGGGCCCTGTAGATATAGGGAGGTTGTAGGTTTGGGGGAGTCCTTCCTAAAGTGGCCAGCCTTCTCACTTTGTGCCTGACGTCCTGGAGGCCTTGTTCTCTGAAGAGAACCTGCCAGTGTGCCCCTTCTCCTGAAATAAGAAAGGGACCACCAGGCCAGGCCAGAGCTCCCTCACCTTCACCTTGCTCGTTAGACCCCTCAAGCACTCCTCACCCAAACCCCACAGGACCTCAGCAAAAATGCCCCATACCATCTTCTATGGCCTTTTTAGACCCTGATATCCTTGGAGGATTCTCTGCGCCAATCCAGCCCAGAAGGGATGGTTCCCTACGCTCACACAAGCAGTATGTGCCAGGCCAGAATCAGAATCCATGCTTAGATTTCCCAGCCTAGAGCCACCCTACACCAGGAGGGTGCCAAGTCCTCAGGAGAAGGTGAGCCATCTTCCTCTCTGACTTTCCCAAACAGAACTCAGGAGTCCTTCCCAGTGGCCTGGGCTGCCCTCAGCCCCAGGCCCCATGAGGTGTCTCTTCATGAGGCGCAGTTTCTAGGATTCTTGGGGACCTGGTGGTGCCGAGAACCCCAGCTGGGATGCCTCGATTCAGTGCCTCAGTCACCCCTGGCCAGTTTGCTTACAGTCTGGGCATCTGTTTCGCCATGTCAGGTGGGGTAATAGTTCCTGCCTGTATGCCACCCAAGGTCATTGTGAGGCTCTGGGGTCAGTGGGTGGACAGTGAGGGTAGAGAGGTCGGGAGTTCCCCAGTGTCACATGGCATGTCAGCACAATCAAATCCCTGCATCCCATCCTAGGACTGAGTCTCTCAAGTGGGTGGCTCTTGCGGGGAAGGGACAGAGCAGTTGTGAAGCTGCTCTGCCAAGGGGCCTGGACTTTTAGTCATCCTTCCCCCTCACAGCGAAGCTGCCCCCTACTCCGAACCTGACACAAGAGTGAAGGGGTCACCCTAGGCCACGCTTTGTCAAGAACCCTTTCTGATAATGGATAACAGCTATTGAGCACTTTATATGCACCAGGCACTATGCTAATCCCTTCTACTCCTGAATGCCCCATGAAGCATTATTGTTACCCCTGTTTTCCTGATGGGGAAACAGAAGATTGAAGAAATTAGGTCACTCAGTGAACAACTGGAGATCTGAAATTCCTGCTAGGTCTGAATCCAACACCTGTGTCCTCTCCACAACACCAGCAGAGAAAGGCCAGCACCTAGAGCTCATCCTGGAGCCCCCAAGGCGGGGTGTCCCAGCTGTCAGGACACCTGCAAAGGAAGCTTACATTATGTCTGTGGAGAACGCCAGCAGCCTCCAAGAAGATGGGATTTTTTTTCCTACAACAGACACTAGGGGGCGGTATGGATCACTAAACGAGGAACTCTATGTGTGTCTCGGAACTGTTCAGGGCAGAGGAGTGCGTAATAAAATCTGACTCATTTTTTAAAAGGATCATTCTTGCTGCTGCATTGAGACTAGACTGTAGGGCTGAGTAGGGGCAAGAGGAGAGATGGAAGCTTCAGGGCAACTCTGCTATAATCCAAGAGAGATGACACTGACTTGAACCAGAGTGATAGTAGTGCGGTGGGGCAGTGAGAAGTGGCTGGAGATTGGACACATTTTGCAGATAAAAACACCTGAAGAATGTCAGCTGGGATGTGGGGTGTGAGAGGAGAGAGGAGTCAGGGGTGACTTCAGAGTGTCTGTCCTGAGCAATTGGAAGGCTGGCTTTGCCATTACTGAGATGGGAACGCCTGTGGGTGAAACAGGCTTGGGGGAGGAAAATCTATCCAGTGGGCGGTTTTACATCAGAGTCTGAAGTCTAGATAGGACTGGGCTGGGGACCAGTTTGGGGAGCTGTTGGCATGTAGTGGTATTTGAAGCCTGCTGAGATCATATAGGGACAGAGAGTGAAGAGAACTGAGCCCTCAGTCTCTAGGGTGGGGAGCTGAGGACCGGGCAGGAGTCAGAGATTTCCCTCCCCTCCAGCCACACTGAGCAGCTTGTGGGTCACCCCTCTGTGCGTTTGTTCCTTCTGTTCCCTCTTGCTGGAACACCCCCAGCCCATATCCCCAGGGCACACGAGTCGGGCCTGGTTCATGTACAGGCCCTGGGAGCTGGGCAAGCACTGGACTGGGGGTCAGGAGAAAGGAGGGAATTCTTCCAGTTGAGCTCTGGAGGGCCTCCCAGAAAAGGCAGCTCCCTCCCAGGTCAAAGACCACTGCAGGGCCACATGGTCAGGTGGGCCCAGGAGGGCACCTTCAGCATGTGCTCCCTCCCCACACTGGACCTCCCTCAGGAGTTTGTAGTTTTCTGACACCATCTGACCTGGGACCAGAGCCCAGGGCAGGTGGGAGAGTCGGGATGGACAGGAATGCATTCCTGCTGGCCCTGGCAGGGCAGTTCCAGGGGCCTGTTGCAACCCCCCATCTGAGGACTCCTTTTTATCAGTCAACAAGGGTTTGGTTGGGCCCCTGGAGGACTCAAAGGCTCAGCCTGAGATTTATGGCTATATCTGTTTGCCTGGTTGTACCTGGATATGAGCTGTCTTCCCCCTCAGCCCCTGCCTGATCCGGCCTTTGAGCCTCCAGTCCCTACTCACCCAGACCCTCTGATGGGCCCAGAATTCACTCTCCAGAACCCCCTGCACAAACTCTCCACTGACCTCCCCTGCCAGCTCCTGAGCGTAGAGACAAGGGAAGCCATGAGGCCTTGCAAACTCCACCTGGCCTTGTTCCATCAGGGAGGAATGCTAATGGCAAAAATTAAACTCAAAGCATGTCAGCTCCTCTGAGCCTCATTATCCCCATTTTACAGATGAGGAAACTGAGGCCCAGAGAAGTTAACAACCTGACCAAAGCTTAATGATGGGCATTTGGATATTTGTTATTATTTTAACTGTACCTATATGTTATATCAAGGAGTCCCTGGGTGCAAACGGTTAAGCACTGAACTATTAAAAGGGTGGCAGTCTGAACCCACCCAGAGGCACCTTAGAAGAGGGGCCTGGCAATCTTCTGAAAGATCACAGCCTTGAAAACCCTATGGAGCACAGTTCTACTCTACACACATGGGGTTGCCATGAGTCAGTATCGACTGACCACCTGTCTGTCAGTTTGTTGCACTGTGGTGGCTTGCATGTTGCTACAATGCTGAAAGCTATGCCACCAGTGTTTCAAATACCAGCAGTGTCACCCCACGGTGTACAGGTTTCAGCAGAGCTTCCAGACTAAGATACACTAGGAAGACAGACCTGGCAATCTCCTTCCAAAAATTAGTCAATGAAGACCCTATGGATCACAACAAAATATTATCCGATATAGTGCTGGAAGATGAGCCCCCTAGGTTTGAAGGCACTCAAAATACACAGTGGTCACAGCAATGGACTCAAGTATACCAACGATTGTGAAGATGGTGCAGGACCGGGCAATGTTTTGTTCTGTGGTACATGGGGTCACCATGAGTTGCAGCCAACTCGCTGGCAGTTAACAACAACGTCAATAATATATACGTTCTTGTTTACAGAATATATTTCACAATTTAAAAACCAAGCAAAGATCAGCCAAGGTCACATCTTTGGGTGCTGGGTTAATGCACAGGCTTTGAAGGCTCTCTATCCCTTACTGAGTCACTTAATCTCCTTAGGTCTCAGTTTTCTCATATGTAAATGGGTATGACAATTGAGGATCAGCTGAGAGGATGCATAGTGATGACAGCAAACACTTTAACCCCCCACATGCCAGGTATAACTCATTGTGTCATCACAGCAGCCCTATGAAGTGGGTGCTGTTACCACCCATCTTGCCTAAGGCCACACAGCAAGAGTGTCTGTGCTCTGAAGTGCCACAGTATGAGCCCTGCCACAGGCAGGAGGCTGGGGTCATGCCTGCTCTAAGATGAGTGCAGAGGTGGGTGCAAAGCCAATGCCTGCCTGCGCGGCTGTGATCGGCCACAGCCACATCACAGAAGGGAGCAGCACCAAGGCCCAGCCCGGAATGGCTGCTCCCACCTCTTCCTGAGCCAGGACTCTCCGAGGCAGGAGATGGTGGGACCAGACCAGGGGGCTACCTCTGGGTGCCCATCTCTTGGAAGCCCTGCGAGTGAGTGGAAGAGCAAGTTGGACCAAACCTGGTGACCAAACCTGGGATCACCAGGCTGAGGATGAAACTCTGCAAAGCCCTAGAGGGACCTCCTGGTCTGGGACTGGAGGTGCTTCCTGCCCCTTCCCCATCTGGACTGCAGCGTTGGCTACAGCATCGGGGTCATGACATGGGGCTATAGAGTGTTGGAAGAAGTCAGAACTGGGAGTCTTCCCAGACACCGATGGATCCAAGTTCGCTGTGCAGATGGGGAAACTGAGGCCCACGCAGGGAAGGGGTCCTGTCCAGGTCACTCAGCGAGTCTGTGCCCGGGAGAAGAGCCAGGGTTCCCACAGCTCTCACCACAGCCTGGCTTCCAGAGCTGCACAGACATGCCTCCTGGGTCCAGCCGGGGAGTGGGGCATGGGTGTGGATGGCTGTAGGTGGTGTGTGTGCCCGTGTGTGTGAGACAACAGAGGCAAGAGCAGGGACCCACAGGCGCCGTGACACCTGCCGCACCCCATCCTGGCTGCTTCCGTCCTTCCTCCCTCCTCTCCTCTAGAGACCTCACTCACCTCTGGCCCAAATCTTGGCCTCACCTCTCCCCTGGGCCCAGCGTCAGTCCATTCCACCTCCTCTCCCCTCCACCTCCCTACTTCCACACCCCCCATGCCACAGGCACCCCACCCCACCCCCTTACTTCTCTGACCTCATCTTTTCCAACTTTCCCCTCCTTCCTGCTGTTCCAGCACAATAGCCCTCCGTGCTTCTTCCTGGGGGCCTTTGCACTGGCTGTTCCTTTTTTTAAAAAAAGTTTTTTCACATGCATATGTTTGCCTAAATAATATATTACTTTTTGCTTGATTTTCAGCTGTAAAACCAGTGTTATAGTGTATGCAATCTTCTGGAACTTGCTTTTCTTACCTCCAAAATTTTTCCATGTTTTGGCAGGTAGCTATTGTGCCTTAATTTTCACAGTTGCATAATATTCCATTGCATGTGACTGTGCTGCCATGTATGCATTGGTCCCCCTGTTGGTGGACGGTTGTGTTGTTTCCAGTGCCTTCTGCCAACCCCCTGGCTCCCCTCCTCAGCCAAACTCCTTGAGATGACCTCTCCACACCCCACTCACAGCCTCTGTCTTCAGCTCTCTTCTGTGCTCCAGATCATATAACAGTCATAGTAACTAGCATTTATTGAGCACTTACTCTGTGCCAGGCACTACTCTCAGTGTTTTACATGTTTTATCTCATGTAATATTCACAGCAACACAAGGGGGTAGGTAATATTATTATTTCCATTTTACTGGTGAGGAAAGCGAGGCCCAGACAGGTTGAGTAACCTGCCCAAGACCACACAGCAAATCAGTGGCAGAGGGGATTTAAACTGAGACTGTGTGTCCCTAGAGTTCATGCTCTTTAACAACAATGCTCTAACCACCTTGCCCCTCATTGCTCATCAGACAGCCCCAGCCCAAGTCCCACAGACAATTCAAACTCAACACATCCACAGTATCACTTTTCATCATCTTTCCTCCAAACCAGTTCTTCACCTATACTATGCTCTCAGTGGGAACATCCCCACCACAGGCCCAAGCCAGAAGCTGGGAGTCATTCCTGCTTCCTTCCTCTCCCTCAGCCACTCCCACATCCAGTCCGAGGCCAAGTCCTGCCAGTGTGACCTCCTAGGCATTTAGCAAGTCCCTTCTCCTCTCCACCCCACTGGGACCGACCTGTTCAGTGCCTCACTGCTCCTCCTGGGTAATCACTCTCGCTGCTCTCTCCGCAGACCCCAGTCCCCTCTTTTTAGCAGCCTGCACATGCAGCTCATGGGGGCTTTCTAAGTCTCTTCTCACCATGTTCCCTGCCTCCACAAGGAAGTCCAGGCTCCTCTGCCCCCGTCCCCTCCAACTGTAAAGAGCTGCTCCACCTCCCAGGAAGGACACCCTCACCCCCAACTGCTCTGTCTCCTCCTCTAGGAAGCCATCGCTGGTCTTGGTCCCTAGGATCGTCCCTGAGCCCCCTCCAAGCCCACAGCCTCCACATATCCCACTCAACACCATTTAGCTCCTTCCTCACAGTTACCTAACAACCTCCATTAGACGGGGCTCCATGAGGACAGAGACCCAGTGCCCAGGCAGGGCCTGCATGGAGTAGGTGCTCAATCATTGTTGGAAGAATAAATGCATGAGTAATGACAGGAAGTCTGGGTGATGTTTTTTCTGAGCCCTGGAAAGAGGGATGGTTCGTCCCTGACCCCAGGGTCAGGGGATCCTGATTACCCCACTCCCACCCAACCCCTGCCCCTGCTCCCCTGGAGGCCCATGCACCATTGTCCTGTCTCTGGACCTTTGGGAAGGATTTCCCTTTCTGCATCTTCCCATTCCAACTCTGAAATTCCTCCTTCATGTGGGAGAGCTCAGACACCAGGAAGAAAGAAGAGGAGCCCAACCCCCTCCTACTTTCTGCATCAGGCATTCTAAAGGGGGCAATATCGACCCCAAGGGAGCAAAAACTGATGCGGGGAGGGAGGATAGTGTGTGAAAAAATCTTACTCTTTTTAAGTAAAAAGCACAGATATACATAGAGAAACTAAGTAGATACACAGTATATACGTGGTATTAAAATACCGTGTAATTAGAGGAAAAAATCTGAAAAACTCCTGAGGGGGCAACAATGAAAACAAGGCAGAGAAACTCTGATTTACCCACTTAGGCCTTGCCACTCAGAGGACTGGCCAAACTGGAGGAGGGAAGAACTGGGGAGAGTCTAGAATCCTATCCTGGGACAGCTCAAAGTATCCCCAAAGTTGACTCCCCACCAGCCAGCTTTGATCATTCCTCTAAGTACCCTCCCTCCCTACCCTGGGCCTGAAAGTCCGCCGTAGGTCTCGAGCATCCTGTCATCTCACCCTGTTCCTACTGAAGCCACAGGTCTACTCTTCCCCTTTCTGCCCCCAACAGGAGCCCCAGCTCCCAGGGCTTGAACTTGCTGGAGGCCCCTCAGCCCTTGGGCTAAGGCATAAGCCTGGAGTTTCTGGAAGAATCCAGGAGGGAAGCCCAACCACAGGAGGCCCCCATGAAGCAGGGTTGCCTCTGTGGACAAGGCTTTCTTTATTGGAGTGAGGGTATGGCCACAAATAATCTTCTATTTAGAAGCGCTCTAGGGAGATGGCTGAGTCACTTAAGGGTGGGACAGGCTGGGCCGGGAGTCTGCTCTTGTGAGAGAGCTTAGAGGACACAGAGACCCCGGTGAGGGGAGAGGTCTTGGATGACTGAGACCCGGTCTTGGGCAACACGGATATCCTGTGCTCTTCATGCATATTGGGCTCCCTCATAGTCTTCGGTTCCCGTGGGGTGTTGGAGCCAAGGAAGATCAGGTAGATGATGCCGCCTATGCAGGCACCCAGGGGCGGAGCCACCACTGGCACCCACCACCAGTTGTCCCCGGCTCTGTGGACAAGTGATGGCACCCACATCCACCTCAGGCCGACACATGGCGAGCAGAGGAGTTACCCCCCATCCTAGCCCCAGAGTTGCCCCTGAGCCTGGTGCCTCAGCCTGATTCAGGGGCAGGGACTGGTCTGGGGCAGGGTTGACTGAGCAGGATCCCCATCAGTGCCAGTCTAGGGGGAAGCGGGGACCCACTCCTGCCTCCCCAGACTACCAGGGAGCTCTGCGGGCAGGACTCTCCTATGTCACTCCATACATCACCACCACCCCTCCGCCTGCAATGAGCCCAAGTAAGCAGGCAGGAATGGGGCTGGGGCAGGGCAGTACCTGAAGACTTCACTGCCCCAGCCAGCAATGAAGGTGAAAAAGCGGGGAGGCAGGTCCCGGGATGGGTTGATGGCATATCCTGTGTTCATGCCTAGGGATGTCCCAATGATGACGACCAGGATGCCGATCACCAGGGCCTGTGTCCCTTCCAGTGCTGGGTTGTTCTGCTTGTCCGTGATGGCGAAGAGACACAGCTGCAACAATCCTGTCAATAATACCTGGGGAACAGATACTATGGCAGCCCAAGGCCACAGCAGTGCCCCAGGTCCATGTCCACTGACACACATGTTCTGGTGCCTTCCCAACCAGAGTTCTTGTCCTCTCTAGAATGAGGGGCTACCTTTTGGCTCCTTCCTGAGGGGTAGAGAGCTTGGGGAGGGGCACTCACCCTGTACCACTAACCTCATTGAGGAAGCCCAGCCACAACGTCATGTGACTGGGAAGGTAGGTGGCAAAAATGCTAGCAGTGGCTGTGGGACCGGTCACTGTCAGATGTCCATTTGAGAAGTGGTTGATGGACGCTGTGGAGATACAGACTGAGATGTAGACCTCCACCAGAAAAGCCCCACTAGGATCCCAGAAATAAGGTTGTAGGGTCAAGGGTTGGAGGACACTTTGAAGACTTTTTTCTCCCAGACATTTTCACAGTCCAAGACACCGAAGTCTGATCTGCCCATGCTTTAGAGGAAGAGGCTGCAGCCAGAGGCAGGCAGCCCTAGGCAGAACACTCACTGTAGAAGAGGCAGTAGATGGTGGCAGCAGCCAGGAATGAGCCCAGGAACTGACCCAGTACATAGACAGGAAACTTCTTCCAGGACATGCGGCCTAGAGCACAACTGGTGAAGGTCACAGCTGAATTCATGTGGGCCCCTGGGAAGAGGAGGCAAGTGTATAGGGACAGTGAGAGCAGAAACAAATCAGCAACAACAGTAATAATAATGGCTGCCATTTATCAAGTGCATACTCTGTGCCCAAGAAGCAGGTACCACCACCTCCGTTTTGCAGGTAGGAAGGTGAGAAACAGAGAAGTTAAGTAACTTGCCTAAGATGACCCAGTTAATAAAAAAAGGTGGGTAGAATTTTGATCAAAAATTCTATAGAAGAATCCTGATCAAAAGAGGGAAAATGCAGAACAGAATTTCACATTCTCATGGAATCCAGACTTCTGGATCTGTGAAAGCTGAATGAATCCCTGAAACTATTGCCCTGAGATAATCTTTAAACCTTAAGCCAAAAATATCCCCTGAAGTCTTCTTTAAACCAAACAATAGTTTAGCTTAATTAGTAAAGAATATCTGCCTTGAGCATTAAATACTCTTGTAAGATCTATCTATATAGGATCAAATTGACAACGGCAACTCAAAAGATCAGATAGGAAATTTATGTTAATAGAGGAGCAACAATTTGGAAAAGGAGGCTGAGAATGATTGTACAACTTGAGGAATGTAATCAATGTCACTGACTTGCACATGTAGAAATTGTTGAATTAGTGTAGGTTCTGCCGTGCATATTCTCAACAACAAAAATAATAAAATAAAATAAAAAAGACGAGTCAAGGTGGCTCAGTGAAGGGTTTGGGTCAGGGATGGTCAAAGGCAAGAAGTTTCAGAAGAGTTCTCCCTCCAGGTGGCCAGTGAGGGCAAAGCACTGGTTGACTCAGAGAAGGGGCTGGCTGGAGGTAGGCAGGGAAGAGCCCACAGGGGATACCTGGCCTTGCCCGGTTAGGCGGGGCTGGGACTCACTCACCAGAGATGCCCCCTGCTATGTGCACTCCCATGGTGACTCCGAAGCCAAACCCCAAGTTGACACCAAGGTAGCTCCCAAATTTATTCTCTCCTAGAACCATATGGGCCACGGAGCCAAGGCCAAACACCTGTGAGGGAGGAACTCTGAGAGGGCTGCCTGCACAGAAGCCCCTACTTCAGTGGAGGGCTCAGAGCTAAGTTCTGGCTCCTCACCTCCACACCCTGAGCCTCCCCAGCTTCACCCCTGAAGACCCTCTGCCATGTCCCCTTCCTCCACAGGCTTCCCTCCTCATGACCTCTTGTCCCTTGCCATTGTTGACACCTCTCACACCTGAACCAGTGACAGCTGGGTGGTGGATATAAAAGGAGCCAGAGGTGGGGAGGTATAGATCTTACAGAATGAGTACCTCAACCCCAAGTCCACCTGAAGGCGAGGGACGAAGGCAGGGCTGTGAGAGGGTTTGGCTGATGTGGAGTCCACCCCTCAGAGCATCTCTCAGTGTCAAATAGGCTGAGGGAAGTTTCTTCAAGGGGGCTCCAAACGTCAGGCCTGGACTCTGCTGGGACACGTGCATGCACACACACACACACACACACACACACACACACACAGAGAGACCAGCCCTGGAAGTCTGTGGGGTTCTGTTTTGCCCTCAGCTCCATTCCCATTGTCCTCAGGCATCATTTCAGAACATCTTGCTCTCTCCCATCCCTTTATCTCCTCAGATGACTGCCCCTCACCAACCCTTCTCCGGGAGGCCTGAAGGTAGGCTGTCACTCACCCTCTAGCTGCCACCAACTACACTCACCTGCATCTACACCCATCTTCCCCTTCAGCTCTGGTTCGTGTGCCCCATCCCCTCCCTTTACAGAGACTTCCCTCTCACCTGTATCTTCTACCCTTTCCCTTGACTGGCTCCCACAGACTCAGGTCTCTTCCTTCCTATAAGTAAATCTTTCTGCCTCAGCCCTGCCTCACTCTCCAGCTGTGGACTCCTGAAGCCCCCACCCACACCCCATTTCATTCAGGCTCAGGAAAGAATCTACCAACTGGTTCCTTTGCCCCTCTCCTTACACTCTCTCCTCAACCTGACTTCTGCTTACACGTGTCACAGACTTTCTTGACTTTGCTGACTTCGACACTCTTGAGCACTCTGTACCTCTGGAAAGTTCTTCCTTCTTGGCCTCCATGACACCTCTGCTTGTTTTCTTCTTACCTTGCTAGCCTCTCTGTCTCTCTCAACTTTCTTCCCCCACATTTTTCTTCCTTCACCTGCTTCATGAACGTGGATGAGCCCAGGGCTCCATCGCTGCCCTCTTTCATGTCTCACTTCAATCACTCTTCCTCAGTCTCCTTACCAGCTATGCCTCATGCATTAAGTTTTCCAAAATCTCTACCTGGGAGTCAAATCTCTATTTCCAAATACCCACTCGAAGTTTCTCAGGTACTCTACAGGTATCTCTCAGAAAACCTGCTCCTCACCTTCTGTTCCCCATCCCAGCTGGCCAAGCCAGATGTCGACCTGGGTGTCACAAATGAGAACTTCCTCTTCCTCTCCCCAACACTCAGTCAGCTTTGCTTACTGTTTCCCCCACTCTTACCCAGTCTCCTCCTTGCAGTCAGAGGGACCTAACACAGAAATCTGCCCCTTGTTCATTCGTTGACTCATCTCCATTTCTAGCATAAAGTCCAAACTCAGTAGGCCACTGTTGAAGATCTTTCACAATTTGGTCTTTTCTGCCTCTGCGTATTATATCTGCCTCAGTCTTCTCTATGTTCCAGCAATAGTATTACTACTACATAATAATAGACATTTCTTGAGTACTTACTATGTTCCAGGCACTGTTAAAGTAAGCAGTATCTATCACCTCCTTTAACTCTTACACCATTCTTATGAGTTAGTACTATTATTCTCCTCTTTTGACAAATGGGCAACCTGAAGCTTAGAAAAGTTGAGTGGCTTGTCCAAGGTCACACAGCCCATACATGGTGAGCCAGGATTCAAATCAGACTGCCTCAAACCAAATAACTGCAGTGCTCCATGCATGCCTTGCTTTCTCATGCCTTGTTTTTGCATATGCTCTTCCCTCTGCCTGGAATATCTGCCCTACATCCTGGAAAATTGATACTCTGCTTTAAGGCCAAGCTCAGATGGTAATTCCTTTGAAAAGTCCGTGTGTCTTGGACATGTTTTTGCATAATCTCTAGGTAGAGATGTTCAGGCTGTTGGAAATTAGGGTCTGGACCTTTGTCATCCAATATGGTGGCCACTAGTCACATGTGGTTATTAAGCACTCGAAATGCAAATTGAAATCTGTTGTATGTATAAAATACACACCAGATTTCAAAGACTTGGTAGGAAAATGGAAATGTAAACTATATTATTAATAATTTTATACTGATTACATGTTGAAATTATAGGATTTAGAATATATGGGTTAGACAAAACATATTACTGAAATTATTTTCACCTGTTTCTTTTCACCTTTTGAATGTTGTTAACTAGGACATTTTAAATTTCATATATGGCTCATATTATATTTCCCTTGGGCAGCACTGGTCTAGAGTTTCTGAAAGAGGAAAGTGGAGAATTGTGGACATGAGGGCTGAAGTTGGAGCCATTGTGATGGTTGAAGGCCCCTGGGAGAGGGTGCAGAAGGAAGCTGATGGCTGAGCCTAGAGCCACACATTAGCACTCAGAAATCTCTCCTGGAGCAGGTGTTAAATGAGAGAAGAACAAAGACAGAATATGCCATGGACACCAGGGAGAAGCACTTTTCCAAAGGTGGGTGTCATCCACACTGTCATGGGCAACCTCTGGGTGAAGTACATTAAGACCTGGAAAGCATCCCTTTGGATCTCGTGGTCCAATGGTCATCTCTATTCATGGTGAGCACCTTATCATCAGGCCATGGGGGCATAAGCCAGGTCCCAGAGATTGAGAGGTAGTGAGGAAGAGCTGAGGACAGCAGAGAGGGTCCCGGTGTAGACACTTCTTTGAGAACTTACTTGAGAAGGGAAGCAGAACAAGTGATATAAATGAGGGGGCTCACGAGGTGAAGGGAGGGATGTTTCACTTTGTGTTGTGCTGTTTTAAGTGGGAGAGACTTGATACGTTTACAGGTTGAGAGAAGGAGAGGCTAATGATGAAGGAGAGAGAAGGTTATTCATGGAGTAAACTAGCTTAGAAAGCAAGTGGAGTGGGACCTGGCTCAGATGTGAAAGAGTCCTCCATGAAGGAGGAGGGACATCTACCCCAGCCAAGGGGGAGATGTGTGGACTCCCAGGCTGATGGGTCTGCTTGTGAGAGGGACAGGAGGGTGAAGAAGAGGGCACAGGAAGCCCACCTGATGATTCTTCCTGTCAAGCAGGAGATCAAGTCATTTGCTGATGAAAAGATGGGCGGAAGTGCAGATAGAGGGTCTTTGGGAGATGTCTGAGAAAGTGTGAAATAGCCCAGATGGGGTAGGGAAGAGGAAGTTGAGCAGGGCCCACTGGTCCCTCAGGATCTCCAGGACAGGTTCAGGGAATCCCAAAGATGCGTTGGCCTAGAGTCTAGGTTGAGGATACTGCCAGGCTTTGGGCAGGGCTGGGTGGGAATAGGGCATGAGGCCAGGACGGGCTGACAGGCTGGAGAAGCCAGGAGGTGCAGGCACCGGAGCAGGCATGGAGTGTCTGAAGATCAACGGTCCCCCACTTCCAAGTAAGAGCTCAAAACTATTTGTTGAAAATAGTAAATGAATGAATGAATGGATCCTGCATGATCACTTGTGTCAGGGCTGCCAACTGTCAACCATGTAACACACAAGTTTTGTTTGGATAACTCGGTTTTGAAGATCAGAAGTTTCAGCTTCTCTTGAAAAAATCGGAAGTTTGGGCAATGCTGGCCTGCATTCTGCCCTCCATGGCAACCGTCAGCCTTATGCAAGCCAGCACTCTGCAGAATAGCCACAGTCTCCACCACTCTGAGGTGCTCACGCCCGGCCCCTGTAGCATGTGAGTTTGCAACCTCTGCCCTATGGCTCATGTCTACAGCTGGTTTTCCAGGCCCCTGAGAGCTCCAGCCTCTCCTCAACCTGCTCAGTGAATGTGGCCCAGCTCGTCAAGTCCCTCCCATACCAGGAGGCCAGTCCCAAGGACAACACCCCTGGAGGAATCTGTGCACAATGGAATGGTCCACTTCCCTTATCCAGGCCCTAGTAAATGGGGCCCAAGGTCACACTAGCTTTTCTGACAGAACATTCACCCTGGTGACTCACTGAGTTTCCTAACAACTGAAAAGCCCCAATTCCTTGGCACAGACCTGGCAGCTAAAAATAGTAACAGCACAAAGTCTTATATGGGCTTAGGCCTCGCAAAGATCTTTTATAAACGTTACTTCCGTTCAATCCTCACAGCAAATCTGAGTAGCAGTGTTTTTGCTCCCACTCTATAGATGGAAAAACTGAGTCCCAGAGAGGGGTCTTGAACTACTCAAAGCCTGAAAGTGAGGGCCATGCCCTAGCTGGGGGAAAGCTAATCAGCCAGAATGTTAGAAACCCTGCCATGTCTAAGCTAAAGGACAGAGCAAAGAGATGAAGGGTTAAGACTGAAATCAGACTGACTGGATTTAAATCTTGACTTACAGTGTGACCTTGAGCAAGTGACTTAGTTTCGTGGAGCCTCGGTTTCCCCATCTGTGAAATGGAGATAATAATGGTACCTACCTCACAGGGCTGTTGTGAGGATTTGGAGAGATGCTACATGTAAGGTGCTTAGCATCATAGTGCCTGGTATGCAGTAGGTGCTCAAAAATAATCTATAGAAGGAAGAGAAATGCAGACACAGGCAGACACACTGGCGTGTAGCCAGTGCCTGCTTTCCTGAGAACTCTCCCAGGAGGCACCCTCCTACCTCTGCAGTTCCAAGTATTAACAGCCCTCATGGGATGTGTTTGGAATGTCTTGTCATAAATGAATTACTTTGCCTTGGCTTAAGGAGGAACAGGATCCAGCTGCAGTCCTGGATCAAAGCTCAGGAGCCAAGGCAAAAGAGCTGGAATGTGGGAGGGAGAGAGGGTGGAGTGCAGGGAAGGGAGAGCCACTCAGAGCACTTGTCAGAATCACAAGGGATCTACATATGTGTACTGGGTGCAGGGCACTTGACCTTCCTCCCACAAATCTGACAGCTTGATATTAGTGCCCATGTTTACCAAAAAGGAAGCTGACATTCTGAACAGTTAAAATCCTAGTGGGAGATCACATAGCTAGGAGACAGCGGAGTTGGGATTCAAACCAATGAAGGCCGATTCAACACACTTAATCACCAAGAAGACAGGCTCTCAGCCAGGGATAGGCCTGTCAAGGCTAGCTGGTCCTCAGTGGCGGGGTGGGGATAAGAACCCAGGTGTCCAGAGTCCTTCCCAGATCTCCGTGGGGCCCACTATCTCTTGCATGGTGGCTCTGTGCACATACACTCTCACACACACACTGCCTCTCTCACCCCCAATTTCTCTGGCCTTCCCAGAAGTTGTCCCTTCTTTCCTTGGGCCTGGGCCCTACATAAAGTGCAACAAGTATGGCTACAGCTCCTATTGAAGGCAGAGGCTCAATAGGATACATGGCAGAGCAGAAGCAGGTGGAGAGAGAAAGATATTCCAAGAAACCTCACATCTTACTTACAGTCTGGTTTCTGTCCCTATCATCCACTAAAAGAGTCCTTGCCAAGGTCACCAGTGACCTCCATGTTGCCAAATCTGATGGACCCTTGCCAGTGCTCACCTTATTTGGCCTCTTGATAACTTCCCACACCGCAGACCACACCCTCCTTGCAGAAATGTTCCCCCACCCCACCCCGTGACACCATCCCTTCTGGTTCTCCTCCCACCTCTCTCACCACTTCTTCTCTGACTCCTTTGTGAGCTCCTCTTCGTTCCTCAGAGTTCTGTTCTTCAGGGTTCTGTCCTCAACATCTTTCTATTCTCTTTCTATACACTCTGGACAATTTTTACAACCAACATCCATATTCGGATGTACTTCAACTCTTACTTCCAGCCCAAGCCACTTTCTTGAGCTCCAGACCCCTATATCTATAAAAGGAAGAACCATCTCCTGGATTTCTCCACTGGCACCTCACCTGATCACGTCCAAACTTATCTCATCTCACCCTGTGCTGGACTTCATGCGCCAAGGAATGGCCTTATCAACCAATACCCCACGTCTGTTGCTTGCAAAGTCTCCCTTATTCCATCTTCTACAACTCTTTCAAACATGTGCTTTCTTCTCTTTGCCCTAGACCAGTCACCACCCTCCTAGATCATTGCATCAGCCTTTTAACTAGTACCCCAGCTGTGCCTTTTCTTCTTAGGCTCCACACTGCATCCAGAATTACCTTGTAAAATCCAAATCCGACCACATCACTCCCTTACTTGATAGCCTTCAGTGTCTCCCCATTGTCCTCAGGATTAATTCTCAAAGCCTGACATTCAAGTTTCTCTTTAGCCTTGGTTTCCCTTCTCTCTACTTCCAGCCATATGCCCTGTCCTCCGCACTCCCAGCCTGTGGCTTCATTCTGCCCTCATATATCATGACCCCTTCCTCCCCCCAAAAGACTTGGTAAAAAAAAAAGGCCCCTCTTCTTACTTTCCTATGTTTCAGCCTCCCTCAGCTCAGAGGCAGGGGAATGGACAATGTGACCCACGGTGTTCAGTGGTTGGGGGGGCAAGGGGTTCATCACTGCCTTTACTGAGCCTTACCAGCCTGGGGTCCTGGGGTTCATGCCCCTGCTTCAGAGCCCTCCAACCTGTGCTATCTGCCCACTCACCATCATGACATATGTGCTGATCAACTCGCCGAAGAACTCCCGCACCATGTTCCTCTGCATTTTCGCCTGTATCCTCGTTATCATGGACCATGGGGCCATCCTAGAGCTGTGGATAGGCTTGAAGCAGCAGCTTGAGCCCATTGGCAGAATGGGGTTCAAGTCTGTTTGCTTCCCATCAGCCTTTCAACTCATGGCTGAGTTAATGGGTAACCCGGCAGCCTTTCTGCACACACCAGCTCTTGCCCAGGGCAGCTGGGGCAGCGGGGATCAGAGACTCCTGAGAGCCACAGGGACACAGAGAAGGGCTGGGAATAGATGGCCAGGCCATGTCCTTCCTTCCTTCTGGACTGGACTGGACCAATGGGAGGGGCACACCAACAAGTCCACTTTGCAGAGGGGAGCAGTTGGGGTAAGTATAAGCTGTGATGCCAAGGAGACTCAGGGGCAGAAGCAGGGCAGGAGAGAGCAGGCAGGAAAGTAGAGCTCAGTTTTCTATAAGCCTACCTATCTGTGGGACCCAGAGCTTGGGGTCACAGACAAAATAGCAGACAGGGCCTGGCAACAGTGAGGCACTCTGCAAACAGCATGGGGTATGGCCAAGTCTGCTCCTGGTGGGGTGGGGGCTCTGCAAACAACACTGAGGCGACCAGTAGCCAGCACTGTGAACACAAACTAATGTTTGTGAATGAATGAATGAATGAGGGAAGGAAGAAGGAACTGGGTCTGTCCTACTCCCGGTTGTATCCTCAGTACCCACCATAGCGCCAAGTACATAGTAGATGTGCAATAAACATTTGTTGAATTAGTGAAGACTGGGGGATTTATCTGTTTTCCTCTCTACTGAATCCCTGGACTTCCTACAATACCTGACACATGGTAGATGCTTGATAAATATTTGTTTGATAAACACTTGGTTGGATGGATAGATGAACAGATGAAAAAATGAGTTACAGGCTCCATTGTCTGGGGAGTAGGTAGGTATGGGGCTGGGGTTTGGGGAAGGAGATGGGTCTGGAGACTAAAGGGGCAGTGGAGCAGATACCTTCATGTGTGGCCTTAGTGCTTGTTCGGGCGGGTGACGCCCTTCACATTATCTGAATGCCTGGAAGCTGGCACCAGCCCCTCAGCTACCTCACTCCACAGGCTTCCTAAATTCCCCTGGCCTCACACAGCAAGCATAAGCAGAGGGAGCCGGAGAAACCAACCAGGCATGGAATAAAACACCCTCCACTTCCCCTGAGACCCTGTGTTCATATCTCACCCACCCCGATCCTTGCCCTGGTCCTTACCCCAGGAAAACAAATCCAGGCCTGAGTGTGTCGAGGGAGGTGTATAATTGCCTGGACAAGCACCAGCCCCAATTCAACTCCAGCTCCCATGCAGAATTATACAGGGGTCCCCTTGACCCTGTGACCAGCCTCCTCAGTCCTGAAGAAGAAGACCCAGGAACGACCGGCATGGGGCACAAGTGAGAAGCTGCAGGTTTGGGCAGGAGGACGAGTGATCCTTTTTGAGGTATGTTGAGCTTGAGGAACCTGCTAGACACCTAGGTGGGGATGACTAGTAAAGAGGCACCTGGTCATATGGTCTCACTTAGAGACACACGACTGAAGGCCACCAAATCACAGATGGTCATTTGGTCATGGACACAAATGACAGGACGTAGAATGAGAAGAGAGGAGGGCATCCAAGAAAAGTATCCTACAAACTAAGAAACTAACATCCAACCAGATAATCACCTAACTAACCTGCTACCCAAGGAACTAAACAACTAGCACCTCACCAACTGACCCTTCGACTAACCTACCAGTCTAGTGACTTAATTAACCAACTAGCTGACTCGTCTATGGAGCTCTAGTGGTGCAGTGGTTAAGAGCTCAGTTGCTAACAAAAAGGATGGCAGTTAAATACACTAGCTTCTCCTTGGAAACCCTATGGGGTAGTTCTGCTCTGTCCTATAGGGTCGCTATGAGTCCAAATCAACTCGACAGAAACAGGTGACTCGTCTGTTAACCAACTCATTTAATTATCTAATCAACTAACTAATCGTTAACTAACCAGCTAGCCTAAAGTCACCTAAATAACTTGCTAACCAACATTTACTCATTCAACAAACATTTGTTGAGCATCTACTCATGAGTCAGGCACCAGGGACACCGAGCAAAAACCCTGTCTCCAACCTTGGGTTGCTCTGTCTAGCAGGACGTACAGGCAACGGCAACATCCTCCGAGGAGAGAAGCCAGGCTAGAGGCTCAAAGGAGGGGTGGGAGGTAATGCCTGAAGAGAGTTTTGAAGAATGAACAGATGAAAGCTGGAAAAACCAGCTGCTTCAACGAACAGTTCCAGCGAGAGTGCCATGGGGGGAAACAGAGCAAGCAAAAGGGGAATTGGGAGTGCAGGGTGTGGGGGCGTGCCATTTTAAATAGGGCTGTCAGGGAGGGCCTCATTAAGAAGGTGGCATTTGAGCAAAGACACAAAGGAAGTGAGGGAGCGAGCCAGGTGGATAACTGGAGAAATAGTGTTTCAGGCAGAGGAAACAGCCACTGCAGGACTCTCAGCGTGTTTGAAGAAAGTAAAGGAGGTCAGTGTGGCAGGAGTGGGGAGAGCAAGGTGGGGAGAGGAGAGATAAGGTCAGAGTGGTAATGGTACTAGATAGGCAGGCTCTTGGCCATTGCAAGGACTTTGGCTTTTGTTTTACCCCAAAGAGTGCTGAGCCTGAGAGAATGAGAAGTGGTGAGTTTAGTTCAATTAAATACCACTAACACAGGTGCAGTTGGAACCCACTGACCCATCCCTTGACCATCACCCAGGTCTTTCTGAGCCTCCCTTTGCCCCAGGGCCCAGCCTGAGCTTGGCTATGCTATGGGGGCATAGGAGACAGGCAAGGGAGGCCCTTCTTCTGGTGCCCCTGGGCTGGGGGTCAGGGGTATGAAGGGAGGGGAGTGGGGGTGCTTACCACTCCTGCTTGTCTACTTGAGCCATATTATGTCTTTTAGATTTCATATACTGTCTGTGGAGCCAAACAAAGGTCACTAGGGCTGGAGTACACAGAACCTGGCCCCATATTCCCATCAGATCCCAAACGCTGCAACCCAGGGCAGAACCACAAGGACATCTCCTGGCAGTGCCATCCTCTCAACCAAGCCAAGCCAGCTGGGAGGGAGGGGGAGCAATGGGTGTGCTTCAGCCAATGGGAAGAGGTTCTAGAGTCCCACGCCCCTCTACCCATGCTTGTTTCAGAACCCTGGGCCCCTGGACAAGGCCCTTTAGGGGTCCTCCTGACTTTTCCAAGTCTGCAACCCAGGTTTAGAGGGTGGAGACACCCACAGCCTCCTCTCAGTGGCTCCACCTTCACATATTCAGATATTATTACCTTTAGTCTAACCTCAGGCTCTCTTGTGGCTAACTTAAACTGAGACTTTCTATATACAGGCATGCACAGGCACAGGCACAGACACACACACCACACACACATACACACACACACACACACACACACACACACACACACACACACACACACGGAAGTCCTAAAAACCCATTTAGTCCGTGCCCCCACCTCAGAGCAAAGTCCACCCTCCTGAGAAACCCCCTTGTACTCTCATTTTCATCTCAAACTGACAGCACAAAGCTAGTCCATCTCCCTCCTCATCCTGTATGTTCTTCTTCCTCTCTAGCCCAGTTCCCTCTAGCTGCAGCACAAGTTTCCATCCCTAACCCTGATCGCAGAGACCCTCTATGCCCAGCCCAGCCCCTCAGGAGGGGATTTCAGGGGAGGAATGCTGGCAAGCCAACAGCTCACCCATCTCTCTGACCCGCATCCCTTTTCAGCCCTCTCCTCATTCCACCCCCATGCTCTGTTGACAGCTCAGCCCAACACATCCTCCCAGGCCTCTGTTCCACCTCTGCTCCTCACAACAGCCAATTTACAGGTAAGGAAACTGAAGCCCAGAGAGAGGCTGTGACGTACTGCTGTCACACAGCAACTCAGGACTGAACCCGAACAGAAATCCAGGCCTCCAATTCCCAGCTGAGGTCCTTCCCCAGACAATCCCACAGTCGCCTCCTCACTGCATGGGCTCAGGGAGGCCACCCTGTCCCAGTCAAGTCTGGAGCCCCACTCACTCTGCTGAAGAGCCTTATGCTTCTTAGCCTCTGCCTTGGGTATCTCAGTTAAAGCAGGTCTTGACCTTGTTCCTCCACAACAGTCCTGGGCTCAGGTCATGCCCCCACCTAGGGCCCCACTGTCCCTGTGTCCCCAGCCTAGAGCCTGCCTCTCAACTCTTCCCGAAGGCCTGAGCGCTGTTCCTGCTCCTCCAGGGAAGAGGTCAGTGGGGCAGGGATTTGGACGGTGCCACTTGAACCAAGTCCAGACACACTACCCAAAATAGCATCCTTTCTCCTGCCAGTGGGTGCCTCGGAGACCGAGTTCTGAGGCAGCCCTTGTGAGGTCAGAGGTAGCACTCCAGGAGAGTGCTCAGGGTCTCATTGTTCCAGAGGAAGGGGTGGTCCTCCAAGCCAGGCGTCTGGCCATCTCAGGAGCCTGAGCCTGAGGAAGCCCCTCCAGGACTCCAGACCTGGGGGAGGCTCTAGAGGTGCCTAAACCCCCAACTGTGGGAAGAACTGTGCAGAACAGGGATTGGAAGTGTAAAGTTCTAGAGAACAATAGCCAGGTGGTGAGGGTTGGGGGAAGGTAAGAGACCCCGGGTCAGTTCCCAGAGAGCCCTGAGTCTCAGGGAGGAGGAGACCTGGGCCTGGCGTTCAGGGAGGAAGTCATTGCAAGGACTTTGCAATGTGGAGGAGGAGAGGGAGACCCACTCCTTGTTTTTAGAGAGCCCCCATTCTAAGGGAGGAAGGGAAGACACAGACTCTGTTCTCAGCCACCCTCCATTCTGAGGCAGGGGAAGAGACATAGGCCATATATTAAAAAAAAAAAACAACCCCGCTCTGAGAGGGAGGTGAATACCCAGGCCTAGTCCCCTAAACAGGTTCCGCATCAGCACAATTAAGTGTTCTGGAATTCCCATTCTTTTCAATGTTATCCATAATTTGTTATGATCCACACAGTCAAATGCCTTTGCATAGTCAATAAAACACA